CCACCAGGGAGGACCTAAATCTTTATTTTAATTGGTATGTGGCTTTTGTGTGTCTGGTAAAGATAATAGTTAAAATTTTTTACCTGTAAAAGACTTTTGAGGTTTTTTACAGAAAGTAATAGATGTCCACACTTGTACTAACCATTAAAATTGGAAAAATTGGACTTCTTTGAAATCAGAAACTGCTTGTCATCAAAAGATATTAAGAATAAGGCACTCCGCAATTGAAGATGGATAGATATATATACATATATGTACATATGTTTATATATGACTCATTCATTTTTTATCAAATACTACAGAATATTTTAAAATGGATAAAAGCAGTGAACAAACATCTCACAAAAGAGAAAGTAGGAATAACCATTAGGCATATGAAAAAGTGTCTCCCCACTCTGTCTCTGGTGAATCTTCTCACCCTGGCATCTCTGGCCTGCACCCCAGCTCTTGTATGCATAAATAAATAAATGTTTTTTGAAAATTTAAATCCTCATAAATATTTAAAAGTAAACTACAAAGAAACGGAATTCTATGTTTTGGTATGGGGAAGAGGTTAGAAAAGGGAAGGAACCTATTTTTTTGTTTTCTAAATAGTTAAACATCCTTTTTTATAAACTGTAGTTCCCAAACTGCTCTGTCCCTCAGTATGGCCCAGGAATTTAACAGAAGGAAAAGTAAGCTGACTGATAAGGGAACTGTATCATGTTCCTGTTTTCTCCTCTGTCTGAACCACTTATTTTCAATTTAAGATTTGCTATAATTTTCTTTGTTTCATATTTTTGACAGCCTGACATAAGCCCTAGTTATGTAATAGAGCCCCTAAGATAATTAACTTTTGATAATGATTTTTTACCCATAATCTGACAGATTGTGTAATAACAGAAATTTAGATTAAATGTTTATTATAGCATGTGGTATACCTTTTTGTATTCTTGATCATTGCTGTTCTCATTTAAAGTAAGAAACAAATGACTAAAATAGCCTCCTCCCCCCCCAAAAAAGCCAAAATATTAAAGTCAAGGATACTGAGTTACAAAGTTGTTTGCACATTCCATGAATGGCACACAGAAAGATGCCTTGTTAATCCCATACAATAGAATCTCTACATGTGTGCAGTCCATAAGAACACTCCAGATGGTTTGTATGGGGTATTCCTTTGTAGAACACTGGTCTTTTTATTTTGATATGAATTTTTATTCTTTTTAAGTTCTCATAATAAATAATATCATTCTCATATTTCAGCAGTTACTTATGTGTTTGTTGTGGTAAACAGAAAAAGTACAGGCACCTTTTGCATTGCCAAAGCTATCTGCATCCCTTTTTAAAAACTGAAAATCACTTTTATACTATTTTCCTATCTAATGAATGTTTTTCCTGGTGCTTTTTCCTGCTCCTTTAACTTGTTTGTTTGAATTGTGTTCACATGAACCAAAATAAACTAAAATTTCAGAGAGCTTCATGGATCTGAAATTAAGAACTCCTACACAATAACAAAAACTAAGTTGTACATTGAGAAAAGTTGAGTTCTTGGGGAGAATTTTCATTTTTCCAATCAATAGAATTGCCTGCTTCTATGCTCTATAGATATTCCTCTTGTGTTACAGCCTAGACAACTACCAAATTTATAACTATACTAAGTGAAACAGTAAGGTTTTCAGAGGAGGAAAATGTAGAAATAATGGGATAGACATATCTTGTTGTCTCCTAGAAAACTTTGCTGGTGTGATTTAGAGTTCGAACAATTTACATAATTTTTTCCTCCTACTTTTGATTAGCTGGAAATACTCTTTCTAGCAAATAAAAGTAGTGTTAGTAATGAGGCCATTTTAATGAGTCTATTGAACTTGATCTGAATTAGTGAATATTTGCTGTGCCATATAATAAGTGGAATTAAAATTTCTAAAATTCCAATTATCTGTGATAGTTGGGTAGGTGACATGAACAGTATTTAGGATATTGATATTATCATTAATAATAGTGATTAACAAATTATTAAACAACATCAAGCAATGTGATAAGTATGTGAAGATATTATAATTGATAATTTAATCCTTCACCCTCTTAATAATATGAATAATCATATGAGGCCATTGCCATTAAAACTCCCATTTTATATATAAGACAACCCATTTAAGATCATGTAGTGATGGTCCCTCCTTGGTGGTGCACTGGTTAAAGCCCAACACTGCAAAGCTGGCCAGGAGGTGATCATTCAAGTTTGATTCCCGCCTTGGAGGTGATCCACCTGGCTCAGCAGACCTCTCCTGTCTCTCCCACTGCTCCCCTCAGCAGTATACTTTGTCAATCTGCCTGTTGTGCTCCCCAATCTGACTGATGAGTCTTTTTACTGCCCCCTCACCTGTGGCCTGCACCCCGTTCTGTATTAAAAAAAAAAGATCATGTAGTTAATAGGAGAGCTGGAACTTGAATCAAGACTCCTCTGACAACAAAGTTTGTTGCCAGCATGCAATATTACTACAGATGCCACTTTATTAGTTTTTGTGTATGTGCATTTAAAAAATGAATCAAGAGTAAATATGTATTAGGTTAGATACAGGTCTTTAGCTTCATGAATGATGATCCTATTTAGAATAGATAATGTTTATTATTATTAGTTGTTGGATAAGAAGAAGGGGTCAGATCTTAGTCATCTAGAATAATCTTGCAGAAAAAGGTTTGGTCAGAGTAAGATTATGAATGTATTCTTAAGCTGTTTAAGAACCACTTTGCCTTTGTAGCTTTTTTTTTTTTTTTAAAAGATCTATTTATTTATGCATGCAAGAGCTGGGGTGCGGGGCAGAGATAGAAGATGAGAGGATTCACCAGAAACAGAGCCAGGAGCAGAACAGGCAGATCTAATGAAATACACTGCTGAGGGGAGCAGCAGGTGAGAAGGAGAAGTCTGCTGTGCCATGTGGGTCAGGTCCCTGGCTGGGGATCAAACTCGCACTGCAGTGGCTGTGGGTAACTTCATAGTGCTGAGACTTAACCCCTTGTGCCACCAGGCAGGCCCTTCTACCTGAAAAGTTTTTCTTCTCACTGTTACCTTTATTTTGGCATAGTTTAGAAAATGCTTTACAAAGAGGAATCTCACTTGTTTTTGTTTTTACATATTTTTGTGCATTTTTCCATCTCAGTTGCAATCCCCTTGGGTTTCCCATCACCAAATCACCCATGTGTCATCACCATAGTCCAGTGCATTTCCCTTCTCCCACTATTTTGATCCCATTCCCCACTCCACCCCCACAAAATGTCTCTGGTATATAGCTGTTATCATTATCACTATTTTCTTGCCTGTTCTGTTAAATTCCTGTAAGAGAGAAACCATCCGGTATTTTTCCTTTTCTTTCTGGCTTATTTCACTAAGTATGATCTTTTCCAGCTCCATCCATGTTGCTGCAAAAAACATGTGTTTCTTTCTTCTTTTTTTTTTTTTTGGTTGCTGGGAATCTCACTTGTTTTTAACAACATGATTTCTAAAATAAAGAGATAGGAAATCTAAGTTCATATATTTTGGGGGAGGATAAGAATACCAAACAGTATCTTTTAGGATCTCCATCAAAGGAACCTGTGAAACAAGTAGTCAAAGTACAGTTACCTGGTTAACAGTGAATTTCTGTGAATTTTAATGAATTTCTAACAGTTCAAATGAAGCATTAATTCTAAAATAACTGCTATGTGTTAGAATCTTCGCAAAGATTTTAAGCATCATAGCTAAATAGGTTACAAAGGCTGTAAAACAGTAGGAGGACCTCCCTAGTGGAGCAGGGGTTAAAGACATAGCCTGCCAGGGAGGTGACCCACATGGCACAGCAGACCTCTTCTGTCTCGCATGTTCTGCAGTCTATCTGTTCTGCTCCCCACTCTGTCTGTAGTGAATCCTCTCACCTCCTGCACCTCTCACCTGCACGCCAGTTCTTGTATGCATAAATAAGTAAATCTTTAAAAAAAAAAAAAATAGGCGATGGTAATGGTAGAAAACAAGAAATAATTGAAAACTGGTGATCTTTTCAGCTTTGAATATGCTGTATGACCTAGAGTATGAGGAAGAATATTTATAAAGTTTGTCTCAAGAACTTGGTAACATATATAATATCCAGGCTGAGCGGTATACTGAGATTATCCAGTACTGAACCATGTGATGCTTTTCCCATTAATTTTTTTATTTTCTTTACAGACATTCCATACACCAAGTTTGGGAGATGAGGAATTTGAAATCCCGCCTATCTCCTTGGATTCTGATCCCTCACTGGCAGTCTCAGATGTGGTTGGCCACTTTGATGACCTTGCAGACCCTTCCTCCTCTCAGGATGGCAGCTTTTCAGCCCAATATGGGGTCCAGACATTGGATATGCCTGTGGGCATGACCCATGGCTTGATGGAACAGGGCGGGGGACTCCTGAGTGGTGGCTTGACCATGGTAAGGGACAAGGCATTACTGGACTCTCCCAGGCTCATGGGCATGGTATTAGAGGAGGCAGAAACAATTCTCTGTTCCCTACTACACTAGAGTATTACTTTTTTTTTGTCACTACAAAGACTTCATTTCCCCTGAATAAATGAGATTGTTACTTGAATCAATTTTAGTTTAAAAATGGTTTAAAATTATAAATGGAAAAAAATAAATAAAATTATAAGTGGTTCAGTGTTAACCCTGAAATAAAAATGGTTTCTTGTGATTGTCATAGGGTGGTGAGGGAGATTTCTTTTTCCTCTTTTATTATTGCCTTCTCATTCAGTTGTGAGTATGAGAGATAGCAGGCACATCAATCAGGGAGTTTATTAAAAATAGCCTGCTTCAGATGTATTGATGATGCTGGATTAGAGTTGTAAATCGGCATATTGGGTTTACAGCACATCTCTTCAGTAGACATCTCTACACACTATATGTGATCAAACATCTCTATCTTAGTTTCATATACTGTGATTCTCTGTTTATTGCAAGTAAAGTCATTATTTTGTGAGGGTACAGGGAAGTTTATCTTTACCTATATAGTGTCACTACCTCCAGTTTACTGAATAAGTTACTTGCTCTTTTTGCTTATCCAAAATTAAGATTTCTGGGTTATTTTTAGTTATTTTGGAGTAGGCCTTTGAGCAGAAAAAATGAATTTACTAATTTCTGAACCTTTGTTTAAAAGCTTAATGTTTATAGATGACAAATTGTTTGATATATCTAGAATTTTAAAAAAGACAATCTTGTTAAGCTGGGTTTATAAATTGTCTTAAATTTGGGACACAGGTCATGGTGATTTTTTTATATTTAGAATTTAATTAAGCTTTCTGCTTTTCTCAGGACTTGGAGCATTCTATAGGAACTCAGTATAGTGCCAACCCACCTGTTACAATTGATGTACAAGACATGGCATCTAGCTTGATACCACATAGCACGTTGACCACCATTGACCAATCAGAACTGAGTTCTCAACTTGGTTTGAGCTTAGGTGGTGGCACCATCTTGCCACCTGCACAGTCACCTGAGGATCGTCTGTCGACCACCCCTTCACCTACAAGCTCACTTCATGAAGATGGTGTTGAGGATTTCCGGAGGGTGAGGCATTCTCTGCATATACCAAATTCAAATTATTACCTACAATGAAATTGTTGGTCTACTGAGCCAACACAGTGTTTTTTACTCCTGCTCTACCATCTTCTCTGCTCACTTCTCACGTTTAATTTACTGTTATCCTCCAAATTCCTTTTTTTTTTTAAAGATTTATTTTATTTATTTATGCATAGAAGAACTGGGATGTAGAACAGAGGTGGGGGGGGGGGTGAGAGAACTCACCAGAGTCACTGAGTGACTCTGAGGGGAACAGTGGGCGAGACAGAAGAGATTTACTGCGTCATGTGGGTCAGCTCCCTGGCTGGAGATAGAACGACAGGACTCATATCTCAGTGGCTAGAGATAGTTTTATAGTGCTAAGATGTTAACTCCTGCACCACTGGGGAGGTCCCCCAATCCTATTTTTTTAAAGATTTATTAATTTATAAAAGAACTGAGGTATAAGCCGGAGGGGGGGTTGAGACAATTCACCAGAGACAGAGTTGGGAGCACAACAGGCAGATAAACTGAAATACACTGCTGAAGAAAGCAGCAGGCAGGACAGGAGAGGTCTATCACGCCATGTGGGTCATCTCCTTGGCTGGGGATTGAACTCATGCCTCATGGCTGGCAATAGCTTGATAGCACTGAGGCTTAAACCGCTGCGCCACTGGGGAGGCCCCAACCCCTATTCTTACTGGCACTCACATAATATCTCAATCTTTATTGCCTCTCTTAGTATTTCTGAAAATTCCATTCATGTGGCCTGTTTTCCTCATACAAAAGTCCCTTTTTTTTTTTTAAATAGTTCTCTAGATACTTTTCTTCTTCCTTCTTATAATTCTTTCTTTTCTCCCCTACAGCAAGTTCCGAGCCAGAAGACAGTTGTGGTGGAAGTAGGGAAAAAGCAAAAAGCTCCAAAGAAGAGAAAAAAGAAAGATCCTAATGAACCACAGAAACCAGTTTCAGCATATGCTTTGTTCTTTCGTGATACTCAGGCTGCCATCAAAGGACAGAATCCCAATGCCACTTTTGGGGAGGTTTCAAAAATTGTGGCCTCCATGTGGGACAGTCTTAGAGAAGAACAAAAACAGGTAAGCAAATAATAAGGAATTAGTAAGGAATGAAGGTTCCAGAAGTTTTTAAGGGTTTAAAAAATAAGTTTCCTTCCTTCTTATATATTCTTGCTTAATATCATCCTTGTTAATGACATTTAGTATCATCCTTTATCTTAGAAGTTGCAGCTATACATCAAATCAGAGTACACATCTAAAAAATTATTATAAAAACAAAGTCTTAACTTTTTCCAAGCCTTGGTTTTTGTTATCTGTAAAACTAGGATGTTTCTTAGTAAGATGTATGCTGTAGCTAGCTCTAAAACCCACTACAAAGTTTAGATTAAGAATTTAATTTAGAGGCCCTTTCTGGGGGCTCAGCAGGTTAAAGCACAGCACTGCAATCGAGCCACAGCTGCTTCAGTGTGAGTTCGATCCCCGACCTTGAGGTGACCATGATATGGCAGACCTCTCCTGACCTGCCTGCTGTTCCCTTCACCAGTGTACTTCATCGATCTGCCAGTTCTGCTCCCTGCTCTTTCTCTCTGAATTCTCTCACCTCCCCTGTACCTCTGGCCTGTACCCCATTTCTGTATGCATAAATAATTAAATATTTTTTAGAATTTTTTAATTTAGGATTTTCTCATTGGCCTAGGTATAAATTTTATAACTAGTCTTCCAAAATTTGTTTTAAAATAAATGAGTATCATGACACTATTAAAGATACAGTTGAAGATGACTATAATTATCATCCTAGACTCCCCACAAAAGATTCCTCCTGTCAAATAATTGAAACAAAAAACTGAATATATTACAGATAACTTCTACCTATTATTGCTCAACAAACCACAAATTTAGTAGCTTAAAAAAAAGAAAAAGTATTATTTCTCATGATTGTGTAAGTCAGTGGGGTGGTTTTCATGGTGTTCTTGCTTCCTTCCAGTTAGTGATTTCTGTTGACTGGGATGCCTTAGTTCACCTGGCCGCTTGTCCTCCAAGTAGGCTAGACTGGCTTCTTCACAATGTGACAGGCTTAGAGCAATGTTCCAAGAGAGCAGAAAAGCCTTTAATAAGAGTTTTTTGTATCTTATAAACCACATTCTAACAGTCAAAACTTAGTCACAGAACTAGCCTAGATTCAAATCAAAAGAGGAAACAAGTTTCCATTCTTGTTTGAAGAAAAAGCCTGCAAGGTGAAATTCTTGTGGGCCATTGTTGCATACAATTTTTCACATTCTTTAAGAGACAATATACTGGTAAGACACAATCCCAGGCTAAGAGATTACTAATTCTAGTTTTTGGGTTAGCATTTGTGTGGTTCCAGAAGCGGGCATAGTTTGAATTAGTGTTAGAAGTTTAGTTATTCTGGCAAGGCTAGTGTTGACTGGCTTTCAGATGCAGGTCACTTAGGAATCTGCTAGGAAGGCTATTCTGGTTAATAGCTGTCAGAAGTGTATTCAGTAAAGGGAATTGCTAATGATTAAATGGAGATGAATTGTCATTCACTGATGAATATTATAGAATGATGTCTTTTCTAGGAGAATGGGGACTTTTAAAATAGTCTCTCTTTCCATAGGTGTATAAGAGGAAAACTGAAGCTGCCAAGAAAGAATATCTAAAGGCTCTGGCTGCTTATAAAGACAATCAAGAGTGTCAGGTAAGTACCTCCTTGATGGTGAAAGGGATTAAGTGTCCGCACTATGAAACTATTCTCTGCTGCAGCACGAGTTCAATCCCCCGCCAGTGAGCTGACCCACATGGCACAACAGACCTCTCCTGTCTCACCTACCTCTCCCCTGAGCAGTGTACTTCATCGATCTGCCTGTCCTGCTCACCACTCTGTCTCTGGTGAATCCTGTCACCTAGACACCTCGGGCTTGTACCCCAATTCTCGTGTGCATAAGTAAATAAATCTTTAAAAAAAGAAGAAAAAAAAAAGTCAGGCAAAAGGGCTAGGGTAGGGAGTGATTAAACCAATCCAAAGATTTTTGTTGATTTGTGGTTATAAGTACCACCCAGGGCTTCCTTGGTGGCCTAGGGGTTAAATCTCAGTGCTATCACACCGTGGACTGAGTTCAGGCCTGAGTTTGACCCCCATTCTGTATATGGTGCAACAGACCTCCTTCTGTGGGTTTCATTATAAACTTTGCCTGGCAGTCTTTGTGAGTTTGTGTTGTTTACTTCAGGCAGGAGCACCCACATGCCCACAGCTGCTCTTTTTCTTAATTCCTCTCTTCCCCGCCCCAATCTGCAATGCACCTTTTTGTTGGGAGGTAAATTGTGTCCTGGGGAAAAGGGTTAATCTCCCAATCATGGGCTTTTTGGTCTTTTTTTTTTTAGGCCACTGTTGAAACAGTGGAATTAGATCCAGTGGCGCCATCACAGACACCTTCTCCACCTCCTGTGGCTACTGTGGACCCAGCATCTCCAGCACCAGCCACAACAGAGCCCCCTGCCCTGTCTCCTTCCATTGTTGTCAACTCTACACTTTCATCCTACGTGGCAAACCAGGCATCTGCTGGGCCTGGGGGTCAGCCCAATATCACCAAGTTGATTATTACCAAGCAGATATTGCCCTCTTCTATTACTATGTCACAAGGAGGGATGGTTACTGTTATCCCAGCCACAGTGGTGACCTCCCGGGGGCTCCAGCTGGGCCAAACCAGTACAGCCACCATCCAGCCCAGTCAGCAAGCCCAGATTGTCACACGGTCTGTATTGCAGGCAGCAGCAGCTGCTGCTGCTTCTATGCAGCTGCCACCACCCCGACTACAACCCCCTCCATTGCAACAGATGCCTCAGCCCCCCACTCAGCAGCAAGTGACCATTCTACAGCAGCCTCCCCCTCTTCAGGCCATGCAGCAGCCTCCACCTCAGAAAGTTCGAATCAATTTACAGCAACAGCCACCACCTCTGCAGAGTAAGATTGTGCCTCCACCCAATCTGAAAATGCAGGCTACCTTAGTCCCACCAGCTGTGGAAAGTAGTCCTGAGCGGCCTATGAATAACAGTCCTGGGGCCCATACAGTGGAGGAAACCTCTCCTGAGACAATCTGTGAGATGATCACAGATGTAGTTCCAGAGGTGAGTCTCTTTAGACTAGTGGTAATCTGTGTTTATGGTTAACCAGTAAAAGTGAGCATTACTAGCATTTAGTATCTGGCAACCAGAAGTATGAAACATCTGCAAGAGACAATCTCTGTGACAGGGATTGCCCTACCTGAGACTGTTGTGTTCTTGGTAATAAATACCAAGACTATTTAAAGTAATATAGTTCAGCTAGAGAAGGTATAACCTAAGCTTAGTTACTTTTCAGAGGTCTTCAAGGAGCCTAAGCTTCAGAGATGTGAATCCTTTACATTTCCTCTTCTTGATGTTTGAAAAGAAGGGACAGATAGATGTAGCCCAGTGTAGACACGGTTTATCTTACTGTCAATCTTTGCATGCATTCTGCCTCTCATAGGTTGAGTCACCTTCTCAAATGGATGTGGAATTGGTGAGTGGGTCTCCTGTGACAGTCTCACCTCAGCCTCGGTGTGTGCGATCTGGTTGTGAGAACCCTCCCGTTGTGAGTAAGGACTGGGACAATGAGTACTGCAGCAACGAGTGTGTGGTGAAGCACTGCAGGTGAGCTTTATGGTTCCTTCTTCTAATTCAGCTATCATCACATCACTTGTGTTCGAGATACAACTGAGTGTACAGTTGGTTTTACTTAATTTACATATGGTAGGTTGCTGCCTACCTATGTCTGATTCTAGAGTCTATGTCTAGAGTCTACTGTGTCCCTGCTTAAAAAGGGCTTAAATTTACCACAACTGAAAATGACGTGATTAGCAATACATGCTTTCCAGTTAGCAAACCTGTTTGCTTTTTATATGTATTAATAAGCTGTATCTGTGAATGTTAGTTTATCTCTAGATCAAATTAGATGACTGAGAGAATTAGAATATGGGGAGGATTAAAGTGAGTTTAGTAGTATAAGGTGCTAAATGTGACAGGAATGGGGGGAAATTCTGAATAATTTTTCCTTCCCACATTTTCCTGAGATTTATCTATATCCATAAAACAAAACATTGGTGTTCCCTATCTCACATACTCTATAAATCAGGATTTGCCATATTTCTGACTTTTAAACCCAGTGCCCTTTTATTCACATTGGATGATATCTCACCTTGAACCTACTTCTCACCTACTGGGAACCTACTTTAAGATAGTATAAAAAGAATATTGGTACTGTAATTTTAAGTCTCTATGTTTGTTTTCTCTTTTAGGGATGTCTTCTTGGCCTGGGTAGCCTCTAGAAATTCAAACACAGTGGTGTTTGTGAAATAGTCCTTCCTGTTCTCCGAGCCAGTGAAGACTTAACTGCTGGGAACACGTCCAAGAGCCTTTTAACAAGATGGGCTTTGGTAGTGCCTGATCTCAAACCATGATGGTCCTTTATGCTTCTCCCCCCTTTTCTTTCAGTAGGGGTCACGTTAGGGAGCAGGGCCATTGAGTTTGCTGTAATCTGGATTTGCTTTTTCCTTTTTAAGTACAAGCAGAGATACCAGTAATTAAAATAGCAGAGGAAAGGGTAAAGGGAAAATAAACAGAATCTAGGGATAGGATGGATGGCAGGGTGATTGATGGTGGTGGGGTTTTTTGAGAAAATTTACTGCTATAATTGTCACAGGACTTTCTTGAAAAATTGTTAAAATGATCGGAGAGTATTCAGCTTTGAGTCCAGGAGAAAATACCAGTGTGTACATCAGTTTTAAAGGGGACAAAGACTGCATTAAAGGTTACTTGGTGAGCAGGGAACTCCTACTGTTACAACTTAAGTGCTGCTCGGGGAACAGAGGTTTTTAACTCAATTGTCACAGTGGATCATAGGGAAAATATCACCTAGGAATTTCTCTTTACATATTGTTTCTGTAGTCGGTATTCCTCTATCTGTATTATCATAGCTGTAAAAGGCTGTCTACATACTTAAATTAATATAAGAAGTTTTGCCATAGTCTAAAGAAGTGTGTTCACTTGTATTTGATAAAGTATCTTTTAAAAAATAGGCCAGAAGTGTTTTCACTTAGCCGTCATGCAGACCACTCTCTCCATGCTTATACCAGTGTGCTCACTTCACTTTTTTTTTTTGGAAAAGAAATAAGCTAAAGAATAGACTAGCGGAGCCACATAGTTGCAATAAGCAAATATGTAGAGGGTGATAGTCCACAGTGATACCAAAGTGAAATTCAATCAAACCTTACACCTTAAGAATGCGACCCCAGAGAACTTCCTAACACCATGCTCACATAGTACTGACTGCTAGTCACTTTGATCCTACAGTGTATAAGCAACATTTTAATGCTTTCCATGCATTTATTTAGTTTGAACCCTCACAACCCATGAGGTAGGTAATATTCCCATTTTATGTATGAGTCAGACTGAAATGAGACTGAGACAAAAACAGAACCTGACCTTATAATCCCAACCACAATACAAATTTTATTTAAATAAGGCGAGAAGACTACTGTACAATATCAGTTTTCAGGTGCAGCCCACAGAGCTATGGCCCTGCATTGCTTAACTCTGAGGAAGTGCTTCATAGATTCTTAGGTTTAGATATGATACCATCTGGATACCTTTGCTTGAACCGAGCAACCACATCTGGGTCTAGTAGGTGGATTCCATCCAGCTGGTTTCCAAGTGTGATCCTGAAGCAAAGGGAAAGAAGATGCAAATCAAAAATCTTAGAATTAAAAGGCTATTAATATTACAGTGGGTATTCTTTGGGTAAGTAAAATGCTACCAGCGTGTCTTTAAATTCAAAGGGATGAAAGATTGCGACTGTTGTTTACTTTTCCCCTGTGTAACCACCAGGGGGCAGATGCAATTCATCCCAAAGAATAAAAGGAAATGCCTTAGGTGGAAGTATAAATGGAGACCCTAGAAATCAGTGGTTTAGTCCTTCCTGCTGGGTTTCCAATGAATGTTGTAAAATCTCATAAACATTTTAACTACAAGCTTAGGTGACTTACAAATCTCCTGAAGCCAATTTGCTGGTGGACTGTGAGGTGAAACTATTTCGTTGAGCAAAAACAGTTCTGCCCTCTGGGGGTCAGCCTGTTGTCTTACCAGTTGGGTTGCACATTGTGTGGTCGTCCAAATAACTCAATCTTACGAGTACCAGGTGACAGTCTCTCAATCATGCCATAAATTTCATCTGGTTTATGACTGGTGGAACGAACCTAGGAAATAAAGGCTCTAGCTACTTTTAAGTTAACCCAAGATTACAATTCTAGACTTTTCCCGTATGTTTACGGTCTAAATGAGAGAACCTGGAATAAGAATACATGTCATTTGAGTAAGTGATACCAAGTAAAATGTCCAGGGGAAGCACATACCTCAGCTACGATCACATCACAGTCCAGACCTTGGTTGAAGCCTTGGGGATTTCCTTTGACACCAACCTGCTCACCAGAGAACAGATTACCTTATGAAACCCCCAGCATTTGAACTTTTTCTCAAGAAATTAAACAACTTAAGCCTCCCTGGTGGTGCAGGGGTTAGTCTCAGCACTGTCGAGCTATCATCAACCACTGAGGCATGAGTTTGATCCCTTCAACATCCAGGAAACTAACCCCCATGGCACAGCAGACCTCTCCTGTCTCACCAGCTGCTCCCCTCAACAATGTACTTCAATAGATCTGCCTGCTCTGCTCCTCTTCCCCACTCTGTCTCTGGTAAATTCTCTCACCCCCTGCACCTCGGGCCTGCACCTCAGTTCTATGCATAAATAAAGATAAATCTTTAAAAAGCAAACAACTCCTTTCTTGCTCCACCTATTGAATTAGGCCCACTGCTGCTCACCAAGCAGTGTTCTTTCCCATGGTTCAACCAGTGACCTGTTCGGCCTGTCCGAATGATGCGCTGCAGTTGATTTGTCTTCACCCAGATAATTTCATCTACCCGTTCATAACTGTGAAACATAACACAGAGAATTAAAAGCTTTAACTAGGTTTCACAATTTAGGAGTAGAACCATCTATCTTTTGGTAAGGAATCATGGAATACTCTGGGAAAAGGGGACCTATCTACAATGATTATGTATTTCCATCAAAAGAAGGCAACAGAGGGCCCTCCCTGGTGGCGCAGCGGGTTAAAGCACAGCACTAAGAAGCCAAAGCCACTTCCACATGAGTTCGATCCCCGCCTGCCCTGGAGGAGATCCACATGGCGTGGCAGACCTCTCCTGACCCGCCCGCTGCTCCCCTCAGCAGTGTACTTCGTTGATCTGCCTGTTCTGCTCCCCACTCTGTCCCTGGTGAATCCTCTCACCCTCCGCATCTCTAGCCTGTACCCCAGTTCTGTATGAATAATTAATTAATTTTTTAAAAAAAAAAAAAAAAGGCAACAGAGATCTCTACTTACCCCCAGAGGTTCAGGCATTCTCTGCCCAACTCCATGGCCCTAGGAAAAAAGGAATACAAAACTATTTCCATGCCCAGCCCATGTTTTTTTCCCCCTTTAAGATGTGTTTTCGTTAGATATTCCATGAACACTGACATGCAAGTATGCCATTAGGGAGCAGACTGGATCTAAGAGTGGAACCATCTGTTCTAAATCTCTATACATTTCACCAGAAGTAAACAAATATAGTTCAAGGCATTGTCTGTGTTATAAACAGGCACTAAGTCATAGTAGGGGAAAAAGCAGACTCGGTCATACTCTTAATAGCAGGGCTAGGAAACCCCAGGACTTTATCCCCACCCAGTACTCACTCTGTACTGTATCTGCCCATACCTACATATCTTTGAACTGCATTACCTGCCTGTGACCCAGAGGAAGAGAAAGCCATCATCCTGCAGTACTGGTATGTTGAGCCTGCGCATCTCATCATCTGTCAGGGTCCCATAAGGCAGCTCCATGTGAATATCCCAGGGTGGGTCAGCCATCACAACTGCAAACTTGCCCAAGATACTGACGTCCAGGTAGCGGATATCACAACAGATCCACTGCATAAGGTGGTATTTGGTCATCTTCCCTTCCTTCACTCTCAGATGCAAGGCCCCAGACCCTCCTTGCCATATGATTTTCTTATTCCCTTATGAGGATGTCTTCTCCCACTCCATTCCCAATCAGCAGGATAGACTGCTGATTACACCCTGCTCTCCTGTATGTATGGCTGTATGATTTAAAAACATAAGTCATAAGCTGGGTAAATTTTCTGACCAAGCAGTTACCTGAGGTGGGAAGAGCCGATCTGCATTGGAGTCGCCGCCAACACTTTGTGTAAGAGCAAGTTCCTGGCTTGGTGTATGGTCTTTACTGCCAGGAGCCTCAGAATCCATGCAAGCATCAATTTCATAGTGAACATATTTGCAAGTATCCATGTGGAAACATGTATTAAGGAAAGAGCAATCACCTAATGACTCATCAGTATGCTTATTGATGATTCGTCTGGGGGAATAAAAAGAATCAAGATAGTGTTCTAGGGTTAGACCCATAGTTCGAAGTCCAAATCATTTCAAAGTTTCATTACCGACTCCTAATTTTCTCTATATAGCACCTCCTATAGTTTTCAGAAAAGGGGGGTAGGAGAAATCGTAATTCACACTGAAGAGTATTATTCTCCTATGATCAAAGAAAATCCTTGTAACAGGAAGAGAGGGCTAGCTGGTTAGAGCAGAACAAAACACTGACTTAATAAGTTCAGGTTCCTGTTCTTCCTAGACAGTCATCTGAGAGAACTTTTTATCTTTCAGCTCAGAGACAGCGATTCCTTGCATTATAAGGAGGGGCATTACCAAAAAAAAATATGTGGGAGGGCAGCCTGTATTCTCTCCCACAAAACACTACTCCTGAAAATAAAACTTAAAGAGTCTAGCAGTCTAAAACAACCATAGACTAAGTGATAGAATTAAAGACAACTCCAATGACTGAAAAGGAATGACTGCTTCCAAGAGGCCCACCCCCACCTTTTTCCCTCCCAAGAGACCTGAAATGTAGCTTGCGACAGGGCCGATCAGCATCACTGGCTTTCATGCACTCCTCCTTGGTTCCATAGTCACAGAACTCCTGCACCTGGGCCCGACCTCGTGAGCGAAACTTTTCAACAATGGATTGTTCCTTAGCTGTTGTTGTATTTAATAGCTCTAAGATCTCCTGACTGACCTACAACAGAAGAAATCTTGGACTTAAAAAGGGCTGCAAATGCCCAAAAGTAGATGACTGGATTA